TCTTAGAAAGACTTAAGTGGTTACTTTGGGTGCACCTGGATAATCCAGAACAATCTTCCCCAATCAAGAACCTTAATTTAATCACTTCTGTAGAGTCCCTTTTGCCAGGTAAGATACTATTCACAACCTCAGAGGATTAGGAAGTGGACACCTTTGGGGGCCCATCAGCCTACTACAATTATAAATACCATTAACCTAATAAAAGTTGCCCAAGTAAAGCTCAGTGCCTATTAACTTTAGCTTGGTTATGTCATGAATCCCAAGTTGTGGTCTATATTGAACATCTGTGGCTTTTTAGTTACTAAAGCAGCAGTGTTCCCACTCCAATGGACATCAGAATCATCCAGAGAACTTGTTAAGGCAGATTCCTGGGCCCCACACCCATAGCTTCTGGTTTGGAATTTGCAGACCTGGGATGTGCTTCAAGAATTTGCATTTTAACAAGTTTCCAGTGTTGCTGTTGCTGGAACAGAAACAACCCCACTAAAACGTGAAGTGGACATTCAACTAGTAACAAATTCTACTATAGGGATGACGGTGTGAGGAGCTCTGCCAACCTGCTGGGACGTACATAAATATTTAATCTTCAAATAGATTAATTGTTCCACAAATTAATGAAGCTGGGTATTTTGGCAAGAAGCATTCTAACTCGTAAATGATTGATTACAATGGAGACGTGTGATGACGGATTGGCAACTACTGAAGGAAATATCTATTGTCTGTACATTATTTAAAATAACCCAGTGGGAAAATAGGACTAATTATATGCCTCTTTGCAATAAGATCCAGAATGAAAAAAAGAGGCAAAACAGCTTTAACTGCACTATTCACACACAAATCATATCTTGCTTCAATATTTATTTTTATGGCAAAAATAGACTGGTTCATATATATTACATTTATTCAAACTCTTTGCCCATTAAATGCACACACTTTTACCAACCAACGACAGTTTAGAAGATTTAAACTCTGCTGATTATATGTTTTTACATTATTGATCATCAGACAGTTGCATGTAAAATTGCTTTTTAAACTAGAAAATACTAGACAACTACGTATACTACCTGATTGCCAACAGGTCGAATTCCCAGTGCATTGCTTGAATGATAGGGAAACTTTCTAAGAAAATGTATTTCATAAAAATTTTCTCCACATGTTTAAGTTTGTTAGGCCTATTAAATCATATTAACCTCTGTTGTAATTTTTATTTAAACAGATTTATCTAGATACTCATTTTTACAGTAAACTTTGCTAAATTTACTATGGATAGGGCTTGGACTGCTTCAATTTTTAACAAAGAAAATGTACAACAAATTCTTTTTGTTGCAGTGTAATTCTTCATCTGAACTAAACAATATCCTTGTAATTCAGAATATCTCCCTCTGTGAAGGACAATAGAGTGAAAACATTGAGGTGTTTTCACATGAAAATATTAAACATTTGCATGATGAAAATCTAAGTGTTTTATATATTAATGTAAAAAAATTACTTGAAAATAATAGTAAAAAGCAAAAATATATTCCACTGGCCCAATGCTAGTCTTTTGAGTAACTGCATCCAAGTTTTTTAAAGATATTTAAAAATATTTTTATTCTTTCCCCTCATTTCCAATGTGTTGCTTAGAAATTGAATACACTGGTAATTGTGTAATAGCGCAATTCTACAACAAGGAATTAAGATGCTTACTTTTAATATGGAATTGAAAACATCTAATGTGGAGAGAATCTAAACTGATACTAACAGAAAATTTTCAAAAACTTTAAGAATCATCCCTGTACAATAACTACTTCACTTCTCCATTGTGCCACAGAACCAGACTATGCGGATAAAACCCATCAGGGCATTACTAATCCAAAAGTTGTCACAAATTATGGTATTTCTCCCTTCTGTGTTTTTCTTTCATCTTTTTGTTTTATGGGCTTAAAGTTCTGCATTATTTAATCTTGTTTTTATTAAGTCTGTTCTAGAAATAAGTTTGTCACTTCTGGAGAATTTTTACTTTTTTTCAGGCTATTTGTTGGACTGAACCAGTATGGTATTATTCCAGTAAAACTACAAAACCACTAGATCCTTTCAGGACACTTAACTCTAAGATTAAATGACAGTTCAATAAATATTACTATAAAATAAGGAACAAAAAATTTCTCTCATTCAATGGTCCATTAATTTCACATAATTTCTAATAAACTTCTGGGGATAAAAAGGTTTGGACAGTCTCTTAGCATTCATGACAGCAATCTGACCTGCGATATTTGCACTTATGAGAAATGAGTGACTGAGCTTATATTTCCCATTTATTTATTCAGTTTTCTTCAGCAGATAAACCAGCAGATAGAGGTGGAAAGCCAGTTAGCGTGAAATCTGTACTAGTCTCATCAATTTACTCAAATACATGAGGGCTGACAGATTCCTGTTCTCGCTCATCCACATAATCCAACCTTCTGAATTTCTTTGGTAGCACAGACCTGCTCCTAAGAGTGAATACCATAGATCTTTTCTTCACCAAGCTTTTCGAGTGTGAATTTAAAGTATACATGCACACTTAAAATGTCGATAGTGACAACCAAAAGAAAATACTTGTTTTGGATACATAGTTTAAAAACCACCTACGAGTTTACTTTAAAACTGCAGATTCAGTACATGGAAGTGTGCACTGCTATAGCCAGTGAGGGTACCTTACATTATAGATTCAAAGCCAAAGCATCATAGAGATTTTAAGTGGTCCTTTTATACAACATATCACAGAGTCATTATTTAATGGAAGTTAAAGAATAATGATCAAAAGATCTACCTAATAAGTAATTTTCAAAAATTTGGAGCAGTATGTCACCCATCCTGTTAGTTCTACAAGTAGTTTAAACAATTATTCCCTTCTTGTCATTCATCTGTACTTATTTGTAATATTAAAGCATAATTAAGTATACAGGTACTATCTTCCTTAAGCCATCAACATACTGAACAAAGTTTAGATTTACTCCAGTTTTAAACTAAGTATTTTAATGTAAACATTTTTGGAAATATTAGCGCAGCCTGGCCCTAACTCACACCCATATGACCTAGAGATACTCTTTACACGGGAGCATGTGCCTGGGAACCGCTGCTTCCTCAGCTGGGTGCTGCAGACCCGATCCATCCTTCTTGGCCCAGGCCCATCATCTGCTTCCCATTGCAGGCCAGTGACCATCCAGAGAGGCAGGAGAGGTAGGAGAGGTGGGGAAATGTACTGCCAATCCGTCCCCCTTCACCCGGCCCCGCCTCACAGGCATTTTCATAGGCAGCATCAACGCTCATGTCACCATACAACCCATTCTGTTCCTTACCCTTCATACGCCACTCAAGTTTCTGAGACAAATGAGGGGACACTCACTTCTGTGTAATTCTCTCTTGAATCCCTGATCGATCTGACCTCCATTGCTTGCTGAGGCCCATTCCCCACTGCCAGGCAGACCCAGACAGAATTTCTTCTCTGCTCTTACCGGCAGGGAGCAGCAGGGAGGAAAGTTGCCGTTATATTTTCCTAGGAGTACAGATGATGGAGGTTTGACTACCACTGCCTAGCGCTCGGAGCCCCTGTGGTTTAAATGAGCTCCGGGAGCACAAGCCGAGAAAGTTAACACCAACATATGGTAATATTGCCCCTTGTAGGAGGGTAGGATATAGCTCAAGTGATAGAGTGCATGCCTAGCATGCACAAGGTCCTGGGTTCAATCCCTAGTACCTCCTCTAGAGAGAAAGAAAGAAACCTAATTATCTCCCTCCTCAAAAAAAAAAAAACAACAAAATCCAAAACAAAACAGATATTCCCCCTTGTGAACAACATTCTCAGTCATCTAACATACACTTGGAAATTTTAGAGCATAGTTTTTATTTGGCAACTGCCTATACTATAGAGAAAACTATGCCACTTTAACAATCCAAGGACCTCTTCAGATATCTTCTAAAATCTTCTACCCATCCACCCCCAACATATGCAAACCTTAAATTTCTGGACTTTCCGATTTTCCCTCATTTTCTAAAGTAATTATAGATACTTAGGGTAAACGGAGCCCTTGTCTAGCAGAAAAATGTGAAAAACTCATGTTCTTTCAAGAAATGTTTTTCCAGGCAAATTTCTAATGTGTCTATTCCTGTTTTTGAAATGTCTATCCCTCAGTTTAAAAGGAGAGCCCCCCCTCCAATTTAGATTATTTTAATAAATTTTAAACTGGGAAGAGATGGTTTAGCTTGTTCCACATGAACTCTTGATGGAAAACAAATCCCCTAAGCTTATGTCCAAAAAAGTTCCTTTAAAAAGTCTGGTTTTTAAAATGATTTACAGTAAACAGTAATTCTTTGTATTGTAATATATTCTAAGTTTTGTAAGACATATAATGTGGACATTTATATTTTCTTAATATGGTCAACATTAACTTACCTACCCATTTGAAATGACTGTTCTCTTCTGATGATGAAAGCTTCACAGAAAGGTTGTGCAGGCCATGCTGCCATCACTTGGGCCTACACCGCACACCCTCCTCTGGGTTTCTGCCTAAACCGTGCTCTTTCTGGAAATTCCTAAGGAAGTACAGCCGGTTTTAACCCTGCCAAAACGTTTTGAAGGCTACATTCTAGGGCTTTCTGTATGTTTCACAGTAGATGTTCCAGAAGAAAATAAGTAATAATGACTGCAATTAACATTCCAAATGATATTCTAAAATGAATACTTTCTGTTCTCAAAACAACTAGAATATTTTATCAAAAGATCCCACTCATCAGGAAAGCTGATGCCAGAGATGCCAAAATTGGTCAGTGGAAAACACTAGTTTATAACCTACTTTCTGTGAAAATGTACATTTTGGTAATTTTAATAAGAAATTAAGAGTATCAAGGAACTAAAGGACACGAAAATGCTGAAGCATAGTGGAACTTCAGCAGACAGACATGTCCTCAGTTCAGACACGGTGAGCCCGTGAGACCTCAGCGTTCTACAGTTCGCTCTTAAAAATCACAAGACTTCAAAGTCCAGTAATGTAGATTCATTTTTATTCAGAAATACTTTCAAATTCACTAACTGTTAATTAAAAGTTTAAAAATTCGAAAGGGACACCAAAAATTACATGGGTTTTAGAAGCTATGTCAAACATGCGAGTTTTAAGAGTGACGTTTATACAGTGTAACTTAGACCTCATAAGTAATTCTCTTATAATCAAATTATTACAACAGAAACACAAACATACCATATATTACTCTTTAGATTTTTGTTTTACAATATGTTCTTGTCAATGGGACACTTCAAAATGTTTCAATCTGACAGAAAAGCATTTTTAAAAAACATACCATGGAAGAAAAAAAGCCTCAGAAACACTCCTGTCCTTTATATGGTGTGGAGGTGGGAAATATTAGAATAAAAAACTTATTCCCTTCTTCTGGGATGCTCTTTCTGAATATTTACACTTGGGTCTATTGTCCTTTATAAACAATTTTAGATTTAAAATGAATGCTTTGTTCCCAAGTGAGAAGCATGCCCACTTTCAATATCCATTTTCATTAACATCTTCTGAATTTTCCTCTTAAATGGCTGTGTCTGGATCAGAGTTAGCCGACATACACTGTTTAAAAGAAATCCTGTTCTCACAGCCAACAACACACACTTAACGGTGACAAGAATGAGTTAAACCACTTTAAGAGTTAACTTGGGAACCAGAATTGTCCCTAGGATACTGTGAACTGGGGAAATGGCCCTGAACTTGACATTTTGGAAGCTCTGCATTTTGGAGAAGCAGCCTCAAGAAGGAAGAGGAAAGAGAAAGCTCCTCAGCGAAACGGACCTGTCGGTCCGTCCTCGCCCCTGCAGTGACCACGGGGACAAGGCCACCCCAGCCTGGGCTCCAAGCGACACCCCCCTTTAATTCATCCTGGTCCTGCCCATGGGGATGGGCCTAAATGGGAGCAGCAAGGGGCTAAAACAGACCTGGGGGGAAGTCAGGGGATTAAGGAGCGAAAATTCCAGTACCTCTTGAATACCACAGCTACCTCTGGTGACCCCGCAAGTCTGGGCTGCGGTTCTAGGAGACGAGGTGAGCTATTACTAACTCTTCCCTTCTTTCAACCAAAAGAAAACAAAGCCTGGTCAAGGCTTCTTTTAATGATAATATAAACCTGATTTGTTAAAAAAAAAAAAAAAGAAGAAGAAGAAGAAGAAGAGAGGTGTAGATGGAAGAACTTCAAGGACACAGAGTGAGTCGTTGCCAGTGACGGGTCCTGAACTTCCCGGGAATACCTACCTCTGAGGGGGTCAGCCCCCAGACTCTTCCCAAGCCCCTGCTCTCCATCCCAGAGTCTCAGTCTGAGTATAGATAATACTGCATTTTTGTAAAGACGAAGGCAACTTGCATTTACCATCTTGCATTTGCACGGCACTTACTCCCGCCCGAGTCATCCTACATACACTTACTCATCTCTTCCAAGACACCTTCAACATGTCTGCTGTTACTGTTTCATCTATAAAGCAATATAACATTAAAAACTCAGGTTTGTTGTTTTCAAAAAAAAGTGCTTAAAACCATCTTATGCAATTATTTTTCACTTCATTTTCAACCAATAAAATCAAACTCATTTGGGTTTACGAATAATACTGAAAAACAATAGTGAATCTGATTATTCTCATACATTTTAAATAATGTGCCTTCATTCCCAGCTTTAACTTACATTAACTGTCTCATTTCAGTACCTTAATAAGTTGAACTCTTATTTGGAAAATATAGAAGGTACAAATATATAGAATTTTTAGGATAAAAAAATTTTCTGAATATAAAAATGTTTTCTATGTTTCAAAATAACACTTTTAGATTATTCTTATAGTTTTGGGTTTGGTAACTAAACTGTTACGTACCCAAGACTTTTTTCAAAACAATGAAATATAATAACATGGTTTTAAATACAAAGTTATATAGGAACCACTCATATCTGTGGATCATCACCACAGAAAGCTCAGTTTCTGGACAAGAAAACCCCAAATATTTTAGTCATAAAATAAAATTTCATTATCAAAAATTAGTTTATGATAGAAACCTATATGACTTAATGATTGCCAGAATTGCCCAGCGTAGCTTCTGTGAAATAAGAGAATTATCTAGAAAATACAATCGCCAAAAGTGTGCAAGTACTGCAGACTGGACCAGACTGGAGCAGGCAATGCCCTCGAAACCAAGTCCTTCTTCTCCGGCTTCTTCCCCAGGTAAACCCCCTCCTCAGCCTCGCGCTCTGCAGACTTCCTTCTGCACCGTCACTTACGTCCCGAGTAGCGCTCTGCGTGGGTTGAGTGTCGAGGAGAAAGCATGAGTTAGGCAAGCACTTTAGCTGTAAACGCTTCACATGATCAGGTCCCCCGGAGGAAGCTGTGGGAGCTTATATGAGCCTTGAGCTTTTCAGGAACTGAATGAGAACTCGGTAGACGAACGTGTACTGGCAGAGGGTCTGCACCATCATCATTCTCTGCTGCCTCAGCGTGTCCAGCACCCGTGGGATGTCCAGCACCTAAATCGAGAGAAGCAGCGATAAGAGCAGGGGGCTCCCTGGAGAGAGAGGGGTGGGGAGCGGGTGTCCGAGCAGAAATCTGGCTGCAG